CATCTGGCTCTGTCAGTGCAAGACAATCCTCAAGTAAGTATCTTCGCGAGACAATCCATCAAACGATCGATGAGCGTGGGACTTTGAAAAATTAAAAAATAAAAGTTTAGGTGCGAGCACTACACCCCTCTGAAGTTGAGGTTGGATTCTGCGTTGACCGGACCCCGGTGTTCCGAACAACTTTCATTTTCCACTTCCAACTGTTTGTCTTTTTGTCACAACGAACTCTCATCTGGGCTTAGCAATTACGTACGAAGTGACCGCAGGCATCTAATTCCAGTGGAGTAGAGGAGGAAAGAATTAATTAAAAAAAGAAATAAGAGATCCCAGATAACACACCACACAAAAAAAAAACAAAAAAAAGAACATTTTCCGCAAACATAATTCTCACGGTATCAGCACGCCAGAGCTACGCTCAAGTTTCTTCCCTCAAACGGACGAAAATCCCTCAAGAGATCCACGCATGGTACGCATACACAATAACACGGCAACGGAAGAAAGAAACATTCACACAAACATACACAACAATCCAACGCACGGGCTCCGCCTCATTCGCCAAGCTCTTTTCGAATTGAAGGATCACGCGAAGAAGAAAATATCGCCAAATCGGTCGTTCGTCGGCGAATTCCCTCCGTAAACCAACAACCCTCTTCCTCCCGATGCCTCGCACCGCGGAAGCACACCACCCCCATCGGCCCCCGATGACTCAACCCCCTCATCCTCCAACCTCTCCAGCTCCAGGTCTCCGGCGTCCAAAGCAAACACCTCCCCGAAAACATACTCTCTTTAAATGCAAGAAAATTTCCGTCATTAAGCTGACTAAAAATGCACATAGATTAAATTAAAATGGTAGGGATGACATTACTCCATGCTCTTGCTTAATTTGCCAAAAAAAAAAAAAGAATTTAAAACCATAGACTTAAGTTAATAGCATTTGAGTATAAAACTATAAGGTCAGCTCGCGCCAAACTTTCAGAGTTGTGTAGTGGGAGGGGGCTTTAAGATGACATTAGAGCAACCCCAAGTACTCGAAACTTATTCATATTTTTTTTTCTAAAAATAGATCCCCTTGAGTTTTATTTACAAAAATAAACTTATTTTATCTTAATCCAGTTTCTAAATAGTCAGGGTTATCAACCCCAACTATATAGGAGATTGTAAACCCCCAATTATGACCCTAAACCCTAAGGTACTGTTTGGCAAAGGGTTAAGTGAGGGGTTAAGGAGACTTAACCCCTTCTTAACCTGCCAAACACAACAAATCTATATAAGGGTTAAAGTGAGTTAACCCTTCATAATTTGCCAAACATAAAAAATATAGAAGGGTTAAGTTAACCCCTCTAGAGGGGTTAAAATGAGTTAACCCCTCAAAATGAGGGGTTTACTAATACTCCTATTTAGATGGAATAAGAGTTAACCCTTCTGGCCCCGTTTGGCAAAGGGTTAATGAAGAGGGGTTAAAGAGAAGGATTAATGTACTTAGCCAATTTGATAATCCGAAGGACTAAATTATTAACCCGTTAAATAAGTTTTATTTTAGCCCTTATGACCAGTTTTAGTGTTTGGGAATAACAATGATTTTGACTATTTTCTTTACAATTAGAAGGGTTAACTCTTATTCCATCTAAATAGGAGTATTAGTAAACCCCTCATTTTGAGGGGTTAACTCATTTTAACCCCCCTAGAGAGGTTAACTTAACCCTTCTATATTTTTTATGTTTGGCAAATTATGGAGGGTTAACTCACTTTAACCCTTATATAAATTTGTTGTGTTTGGCAGGTTAAGAAGGGGTTAAGTCTCCTTAACCCCTCACTTAACCCTTTGCCAAACGGTACCTCTAATTATAAAGAAAATAATCAAAATCATTGTTATTCCCAAACACTAAAACCGATCATAAGGGCTAAAATAAAACGTATTTAACTGGTTAATAATTTAGTCATTCGGATTATCAAATAGGCTAAGTACATTAATCCTTCTTTTTAACCCCTCTTCATTAACACTTTGTCAAACGGGGCCTAACATTCTATGCACTAAATAGTATCAACCCTAACTATTTAGAAACTGGATTAAGACAAAACATGTCGATTTTTGTAAAAAAAACTCAATGGGGTCTATTTTTAGAAAAAAAATTATGAATGAGTTTGTTTAGAAAATTTCTTCTATTGAGATGTATACGCAATATATAGGATTTAGCATCAAAAGAATCCACTAATCAAAGCAAAAGAATGATTTGTTCAACAAATAGCCTTCGAAAACACCAGACAATGGTTTCAGTAGACAAGAGGCGGAGCTCTTCGAAAGTTCAGGGGAGTTTTGTGAAACTCCCCAAGTTTTGGTGGGTTTTCTCCAATTTTCATGGTCGTCTCATGCAACTCACCCCAAATATCAAGGGCCTAGCATAAATTTTGCACCAGGAGGTACTTGCCCTTTAATTGACATGTGAAGGGACAAGTTTGAGGCTGCTACATGAAGCCCTGTCAATGAGAATTAACAAGTTCTAACTGCAAATAAATAAACTATAATTTAATTAATGAAAATAATATTTATGCAATTTACCATACTCCCAACACGAGTTTCATGATTAATTCTTAAATTTTAAGATCCTCAAGTCTGATCATGCTAGCAAACTACCATTCTTTTTTCTTTTCGTCTTGTTTATTATTATTATTATTATTTTGTTTGCTAGTTTGAGCCTGAGATTAATGCATTCAAATTGCTCAAAGCCATCATAATATATATCAGAAGAACATCTTATAAAAACATGAGAAAATAAATTGAATAAAAAGATGATAAAAGAGAAGGAATGAACACTCACCTTGATCCATTTTCCACCCATTTTTTTCTCTTAAAAAAACAAATTGGCGTGCGATCTATGTATCTTCGAAAAACAATCTCGTTGCTCTCTATATAAAGAAAAGGTCCCTCAAAACAGCACTAGAATATTAAAAGAATTACAATTATGCCACTCACAGTTTTAGATGGGCCTAAGAGAGTTTAGTGGCAACAAATGTAGATATTAGACAAATTAGGGACAGAGGTTTTAGCAGATGGCTACCGTCCACTTGGGTTCACTTATGGGTGCTGAGCGTACAAATTTTTATAATTAAGCTCTATCATTATTTCGTTATTATCTAATGTAGGTGATTAAGACAAAAGATTTATGATATTTTTGTTAAACTAATCTTGTCTAATATATGTTTTTGTCTTTGCGCAGCAGGTTGCAAATCTCTATCTGCTAGTGACGAATGTTTTTTTTTTTCTCGCTCCTACGTAATTATACATCTAAAAAAAATTACAAGAGTCGGCACCCACAACAAGCTCTTTCTCTGAGGTGTGGGCTCCACATGGGGTCGAGGCGGCACGCTCCTCGCCTTCATCTTGTATAAATCACAACAAATGCCATATTAAATATTAATAGTGCGGTGTTAGCTAGATAAGTTTAAGGAGGCGTGCTTCTTGCCTAGCACTGTACCTCATCCTCATGCACTTAATTCTTTTGTAAGGTATATACACAGAATAAATGACATAACATTCAATTCACATATTTG